GTTCACCTGCTGCTGTAGAGGAAACCAACCCTTTCACCTACTCCTGTTTTTATCTTTTTCTCACTTCATCTCTGTCTTTTTCCGTCCGTCTGACCTCATGTCATCATTTTTCTCTGCTATTAAACTGACTCACATCTTACACTGCAAATACGTTCTGAAAATGAGTAAAATTTACTAAAATAAGTGTATTTAGCCTTAATTTGGGTAAGAAAATAAAATGATCTGCCAATAAAATGACCATTTTTACCCTCGAAATAAGATAATGGGATATTATGCATTTGGAAAAAGAGACTGCAGTTGTTTTTTCTTATTTTAAATGTAAATCGTCTTATTCCATTGGTAAAGTGTCTCACTTACCTGCTCAATTTGGAAAAAATGCACTTATTTAATGAAAAAAGGACTCTTAGATTTTTTTTTTTTTTTTTCAGTTTATTAATTCGTAAATAAATACCAATTTGTTTACAGTGTCTCTTCTCATACAGAGTCGGTAAACTTTTTGTTTGTTTTTCACATTTTACAAATGTGTATATTCTGCTGTGGCCATTCATGTTACAATTTTGTAACTCACAAGTTTCTTTTTAATTAGTTTTATTTTGTAGAGAGAATATAATTCAGTTAATTTTACACCAATATTTCACACCTAGAAATTGTTTAGATTGCTTTGGCAAGTTTTAGATCCTCTCGTTAATTTAGGAGATAATTTTTTGGTCAAACGTCTGATGTGAGAATGGAGGTGGTAAAAAAAGATCTATCACTTTTGATCATTTTTTAGTCTCTCACAGCCGATTAACAAAAATCGGTGTCCTTTTTCAGCCGCAGCTCTGACGTTCTTTACAGCAGAACTTTATCAGAACCAAGTAAAAACGCATCTGTTTTTTTGACTTCAGTTTAGATGCATGCGGTGTAGATTGCAATGTCTTTATCATTGCAACCAAGCTAAACTAAAATGCAGAAGCATTGTGCAGAGTATCAGCCCCAAACCATTTTTCACAAGTTGTGACAACTGTTACAGACTGCAGCCATTCTGTGAGATTGGCTGCAGATGCTTGTTGTCATCATGATGACATTGCCATAGTCCCACTGCTCATCGCAATGTACAGATTTTTTTGTACTTATATATTTTTGCAGGTAAGAAGGTCTGCAGCTATGCACGGCGAGGTTGCTCTCACTAGCGTCATATTTGACTTTAAAATACTTTGAAAACAGCTTCATGGTTAAGAAGAAATGTCTTATCCTGTGGGTGAAAAAACTCAAATCAATCAAATCTGCTATGACAGGTTTCTGTTCTTATCCTTTGCATGATGCTTTTCAAAATAAAAGTTGTGTATAAATAAAAGTCAGATTACCTCAAACATATAAAGCTTTACTTCTCTAAGGGTGATGGTTGGCATTGATTCTCCACACAATATTCCAACGATGAATATT